CTCTCAGCCCATTTACCACCCCTCCCTTACATGTCCTCTAGCACCAACCTGGAAGGCTTTTGGACCACACGGTCTAAAATAAACAAATACACATTTATGCTGTGTTTCTTTAGTATAAGGAGGGATAAGCAGAAAGATGGCATGAGTGTGGCCAGGCAATGGGATCAGTGCAGTGCTACAGGCTGGTGAAAACTCCATTGTATCTGTAACCTTGTGTTCTAGGAACAGTGGCTGACATTTTTAAGTGCTGTGTGTTCCTCAGGTCAGGGGCTGCTTTTCACTTGGAGGTGGCTCTATTTCAAGGCTGGGGCCTGAGGTAGGTGGGCGCAGATGGGTTAGGAACAACTAAGGGAGACTAACTTGTCTGTCAGTTTTTTGTCCTTTGGTGGCTTAGGTGTTGCTGTGAGGTTGGAGGCTAAGCTACCAGTATTGCAAAATGCCAGCAGGGTTACCCATGGTGGACAGGTTTCAGTGGAGCTTCTGAGCTAAGACAGACTTGGAAGAAGGAAGAGGCTATCCACTTCTCAAACAATTGTTCAGTGAAAACCTTATGAATAGCAGTGAAACACTGATATATTACTGGAAAACTTTATGAATAGCCCTGAAATATTGTCTGATATAGTGCCAGATGATGAGCTCATCAGGTCAGAAGGCACTCAGAATTTGGGGAGAGCTGGCTCCTCAGAGTAGAGACAACCTTATTGATATGGATAGAGTAAAGCTTTCAATACCTCCATTGGCTGATGTGGCATGACTCAAAATGAGTAGAAACAGATGCAAACATCTATTAATAATCATATGATCTACTATGCTGGGAATGACAAATTGAAGAGGAGTGGTATGGCATTCATTGTCCCAAAGACTGTCTCAAGATCTGTCCTGAAGTACAACACTGTCAGTGATAGGATAATATTCATACACCTACAAGGAAGACCACTTAATACTACTGTTATTCAAATCTATGCACCAATCACCAAAGCCAAAGATAAGGAAATTGAAGATTTCTACCAACTTCT